CAATGCGGCTGTTTCTTTGTGATTCATCAATATCCATACATACTTATTATCTTTATGTTTTTTTTTTGCCCTTAGCAACAACAACAAAAATCGGTATTCCTCATCATTGTTGTGATTGAGATATATGATGATTTCTGGGTGGTAAAATTCGAGAGAAAAAAAAATCCGAAAATAATTTTTTTTACACTTTTTTTTGTTCACCGTCATATGAATGATTCATTCAAAATTCAATTCAATTCAGTCAACAAGATAAAGTGAGAAAAAAATGGCCAAAAAAAAATTTTCCAATTTCAAACAAATAACATCGGATTTTCGTCAAAAGTAATAGCCAAAATGAAGAACAAGAACGATTTTCGAAATCAATAGATTTTGATTTCTACAGTAAACAAAATTAGAATATAATACCTTCGGTGCGTGTGTGTGTGTGTTTTGTTTTGTTTTAAACAAAATCAAAATCGGTATCTTCTTTTAAAATAAAGTTTTAAACCAATTCTTAAGGTAAGGTTTAACAACAATGATGATTTATGGACACTTTATCATTATTATTTTTATGGCGATGCTTCGATACAAAGGGAAAATAGGCCTTTGTTTTTCGAAAAAGATTGTCGTTTGATCATTCGGTGTTTTTGTTGTTGTTGTTTTACTTTATTAGCCAATAAAAATCTAATTAATTATTCAGGTAATTAATTAACCAACCGCCAACATTATGTATGCATATACTATCCATAAATCAATAAAATAAATTTTTAGGGAAGAAAAAATTTTCGGAAACTTTTCGCTTTACAGATTTGTTTTCTTTTTTTTACATTCTGTAATCGTTTATCATTATCGATTTCATAATCGAAACACCCAAATAGAGTCAATTTCTATAGTGAATTTTTGTAACGCAAGAAAAGTTTTAATTAAAAAAAAGCTTTGTGTTTGAATTTATCCATTTACAAGTGAATCCATCTACTGAAGTAATTTAAATTAAATTCAATGTTTTTGATTATCGCCAACAACTTACCATCAAAATTTTACCATTATCACAACAACAACCAACCACCATCATCGACTACTGATTAATTGTATGTTAATATGATGATGACCTCGATCAACAAAAAAAAAGATCATTACATCAGGACACATCCCTGTTGACCTTATGATGATGATGATGATGCGCTACTGATGTTCACCGAATTTTCTGATCGTTCAACTTGTGTGTGTGTGTGTAATTATCTATTTTTTTCTGGTGAAACATTTTGATGGCGGTGTCAAAATATGATCGCTTTTAAAATGGATGCTAACACTTTTTTTTCGCTGGTTGGTTGCTTGATCATCAACATTGATGTTCAGTAATATCAATTAATCAAAGTTTTTTCTTTTGATGATAGTTTCTTCAACTAATATATCGTTTCGACAAACACCCGGGCAATTCAGACGTAATCATTTTGAATATTTGTGAAAAAAAACGGTGTGGTGATTGGTTTTGTTTACCGTTTTCATCATCATCATCATTAACCATTCGATTTGAATTTGATTTTTTTCTCTTTATTCGTTTGGTTTGTCAGGTTAATTATAATTTTCCTGTTGCCACACATCTCTCTCACATCACTTCTTCTTCTTCTTCTCAGATGATGATGATGAAATTTTAATTTTTCATTTATGACATTTAAATCGATCGAATCGATCGATGAAATAAAAGATGATGCTATTATTATCAGTTTTGGTTGCTGTTGTTGTTGTTGATGATGGTGATCATCATCATCTTGATGTTTAAATTGAGAAAGAACATAGATCTCTCATATGAGGATAGAATGATTGATTGATTCTGATTTGATTCGACTATGATACAAACAATTGAATTTAAAAAAGAAAAATGATTTAAAATTACCTCGAATCTTTTTCTCCATTATCATCATCATCATCGACATTGAATTAATTCAATTTTGATTTTTGATTTCGTTTTCGTTTTTGTTTTGTTAAATCCAAATCTATGTAATGTCCATTTGTTGTTGATGTCATTATGTGATTAATGTTTTTATCAAATTTCCTTTTGTTTTGTTTTCTAATGTGTGTGTGTGTGTCACATTATTGTCTAATGGACATTGGTCAGTCAGTCAGTCAATCAGTGTGTGTGTGGGAGTGAAAATCTACTGAATGTTTTCTAAATTCAAAAAACAATGACATTAACTAAATTTAGTTTCACAGTTGAAATCTACAAGAAAAAAAACTGTTACAATTTTTCTCGAATGATGATGATGTGCACATGCATGAACATTTCGATATGGTTTTTATACATTTTGATATGTGTATGTGATGTAATCAGGAAAAAAACGTGTAGGTGGGTGCTACTAATAAATCTTTTTTTTTCTGTTGTCGTGGATGTTAACTTTGATTCATTTTGGTCAGTCTATCTGTGTGTTAACTTTGTTTTTGTAACATCAAAACTGAATGAATTTTTTTCTGGCGATGACCAGATGGTTTGACGTGTTGATTTATATCAGTTTGTTTCAGTCGATGTTGTTGTATTTTTGTTGGCTACTGGATGATGATGAACGAACGAAAAGCAAAAACAATTCATTTCGACACACACCGAATCCGAAACAAAAAAAACAGCATTAAAAATGACATGAACTATATGACATAATTGATCTTGAATTTCGCCCAAAAAACAACAAAAACATCCAAATAACTGTTTACTGTTTACTTGACCATTTCGCTTCGGTTACACAATTTTTTTTCTTTTTTGGGTAGACTTTTACTTTTTTTTTTACTGATGAATTTTGACCGGATAGATAAGGTCAACGCACACACACAGAAAGAAAACAATGTGTCATTTTCAACTTTTCAATTATGTTGTTGTTGGCGGCGGCGGATGACATCATCAAATAGCCAGGAAAATAAAAACAAGTTGCTAATGTTATTTTCATAAGCTTTTAATTAATTATTCTTTTTTCCAAACAACAACAACAACCACTCATACATCATATATTTTTCAGGGAAAATCATTTGGGATATCTGGTATTGTGTGTGTGTGGGTGTATGTATGAATATATTCTACACACAAAAGTCCATAAGTAACACATATCATATTAATAATATTCAGTTAGTCAGTTGGTTTTTTTTTTGATTTTGGATAAAGTTGTAAATCATTTTTTTTCATCATCACTGATTTTCTGATAATTCTGTTACACAGTATGCTTGGATACTTTGAATAGTTTGTGATTCATTCATTCATATTGTTTATAATCAGCTAAATCTAATCTGTTTCATGTTTCGGTGAAAAAAAATGATTCATGGGCAATTCTCTCACATATAATTAACCTGTTGTTGTTGTTGTTATCGGGAAAAATTAATCAAAACAAAAATAAAATTAGCTGTGAAAACGAAATTTTAACAAAAAAAATTTCATATTTTTAGCAAAAAAAATGAATCCAGCAAATTTTTTTGGTTTTTCACTTGTCCAATATCCTATTATCCTGATGATAAACAAACACATACCATATCTGACCAGATGTTCAATATTGTTTTTTTTGGTTGTTGTTTGCTGCTGATTTGACATGATGATGACAATATATATTTGATATGTAATACAAACATTGATCCAATAACAACCAGTCTAGGTAATAATTAAGATTATGATTTTTGTTCAAAATTTTTTTTACATAATTCATATAATCATCATCATCATCAACGTTGTTGTTTTTGTTAGAATATTATATTACCAACCAAACATTGATAAAAACTAGAAAAAGAAAAAAAAGGCAAGTGACTACTGTTGTTAATATTTTTGCTCAACTTGTTCCAATAATAATAATAATTTCTGGAACTACAATGCAAACAAGCAAACAAACCAAACTAGCTAAATAGATGAACAAATCTACCCACCCGATGTTTATCTTGTCACTTTATGTTGATTTTCATTGAAAATATATGTGTTTTCCGTATGTCGATGATGTAAAACACAGAAAATGTTTACCTATGCTGAAATATTATCATTCATTATCCTTTATTATTATCATTTTTTTCTTTTGATCTTTCTGGTTTACAAATAAACAAACACAAACAAAACAGGAAAAACTGGCCATAATCTTCATGATAAACACATAATTTGATCGTTTTTGATCAGAATATTATTATTATTATTATATTTACCATATGGATTTTTTTTCCTGAATTCATATGGTACGTGGTAATACTAAATGCACTTGTGCATTACCAGGTTCTGCTTGTTTTTATTATTATTGATCCAAAATATATTCATCATCATCATCATCATAATCATTGATAATTGCCCACGTGTTCATAATTATCATCATCATTGAATGGAATGAATGGATGAATGGATGAAAATCAAACAAAAAATCTTTTTGGTAATTTATGATGAATTTTGCTTGTTTATTTCGACAAACATTGTAAATTGTCGAAATCTGAAAAACATTGGTTTCAAAAAAAAAACATTCAGTTTATGGAGGGAGTCATTCTTTCAGGCAAATCATCGAATTATTCATTTTTGCTAATCAAATTAGTGAATAATTATTGGTCGATTCGAAATTTTGTTTTGATGTTTTCTCTGTTGAAATAAAAATCAAATTTGATTGATCGATATGATGATTGTAAATGTTTTTTTTTCTGGGTGATTTTATTTCTTGTAAAATTTTCTATTTAATAAAATCTCGTTTTTACTTACTTTATCTAAATTGTCATTTAAAGTTTTGTTAGAAGAAATGAATGAAAATTGTCGAAATAAACTAGCAATGATTATTCCGGTGATTGATGATGATGATGATGATAATGTTGTTCATGAACAAAAATTCAATAATACAATTGAAAAATTACAATCATTCATATTGAATAAATATAATATGATTATTGATATGGATACAATGTTAATGATTCAATCAAAATATTTTCAACAACAACAACAACAACAATCAAATAATGAAAGTTCATTTAATCAAATGATACAATCAATTTTCAAAGAATTTAATTTAAAATCTCCAAAAAACGATGATGATGATGAATTTTTTACCAATATTGGTGGTGATTATAATCATGATTTCAAGGATGATGATGAAATCGATTATCAAATCGAAACAAATAAGAAATTGGCCATTGATTCGGCTGTTGATTCGGATGATTCACCGTCATCATCATGTAATCATTATTGGCAATTATGGTTTTGGAAATCTGATCAATGGTATATTGAATGGGATTATGGTCTGCAAAAATTAGCAAAACCATTTAATGGTCGACAACGATTATTGAAATTATTTGATCAATTACTTCCACTGTCCGACATAGGTAAATTATTTTCATTTTAAATAATATTTTTGACATTGTTTTTGCAAATTTCCATGCAATAAAAACAGTTATTCCAAGTGATTATTCAATATTTCGTGAATTAATAAGACCAAAATGGGAAGATTCAGCCAATCTAAATGGTGGTGCATGGATTATTGAATTTGAACGTTGTTCATTAATTACTGATATGAAATTAATGGAAAATATTTGGCATTCATTGGTTGAATTTATTGTTGAAAAACATTGCAATAATAATGATTGCTCACTTTTTAAACATATTTGCGGTATAAAAATCAGTATTCGATTCAAAGTTTTTATCATTTCCATATGGATTGATACATTTAATGAGTAAGTAAAAAAAAAACAAGAATTTCATTCCAAAATCACAATTCTCATTCACATATAATTCAGTTTATCAATCATATTTCCAATCGGTATCCGTATACAATCGATTATAATGGAAATAATTCAGAATAATCGTCGAATAAGATTATCAGAAACAATTGATAATTCAACAACAACAACAACAACATCATTATATCATTATCATACATTACCATTATTATTATTTCGTTCACATATTGTTTCAAAACGTATTGCAGCCAATAAAGATGTTAATATTATTGGTGGTTGTAGTGCTGCTGCTGCTGCTGCTGCTGGTGGCAAAAAATATTTCAATTCCGCCGGGTTATTTAATCATCATTTGAAATCAAAAAACAAATGATTATGATATGATATGAATAAACTTTTTTGTTTACAATTTTCTCAATGATAAGTGATTATCACGAACTTGTTTGAAAATGTTTTTTTTTGACAACTTGATCACAGAAATACATGTATAAATCTTTCGATTATCATCATAGGATTGACAGCTACCGGATCATTTGTCAATGATGATCATGTTTGATTAATTAATCGTAATGTTATTGTTTTTTTCATTTCTCAATTTCTATTTTGAATCTGTCAATTTAATTTTTAAATTTCCTGACATCCAAGTATATGCTGAACTACGCCAAAACGCTGGACAAGATCAAAATCAGGATTTTTTTTCTCCTAATTTCCATTTTGCAAAATTATATGATAGAAAACGGCGAAGAAAAACACTTGACAGCCAAATAGAGAGAGAGAGAGATGATTCATAGCATCTCCAATCATTTTTTTTACCACTGAATTGATGACACATCTTTATCCCGTTTGTTTTTTTCCCTTCATATTCATCTAAGACCAAATGAAAGAAAAAAAACTTGATACCTGGTTGGTTGGTTGAGGGTTATTGATTATACATAAACGTTTCTCTTCATCATTTGACATCACGAATAAGAAAAAAATTATATTTACAT